TGTCCGGGGCCTGAAGGGAAGTCTGGTTTAATGAAGCCTGTAGTCCAGCTCCCTGCCCCTGAAACATGATGAGGAAAAGAGGCTATAAAGGGGAAGGTCTCGGAAAAATGAACAGAGCGCTCTTTTCCTCATGGAGGCCACTCCTAAATATACGGTATAGATCAGAAAAGTCACATTCTGTCATCAGGGCTGCTGTTAGGAAGCCTGAACCCATTAAACCATCTTGGAAATCCAAAGAAGCAATATGGATATACCAGTGGTCCCTTAATAAAGAAAAACTGCAGGCATTACACAAATTAATTCAGGAAAAGCCAAAAGATGACCAGATTGAGAAAACTCTCAGCCCTTGCAGTTCTCCCGTGTATGTCAAGAAAGCTCAGCAATGCCACCCGATGTGAGGTTTTTGTAGGCTAACTCGCAGGTGTCCTTTGACCCTTCTCCAAGAACAGAGCCCCTAAATGTACGTAACAATGTTGCTGCCTGTCCAACTGACTTCGGGGCAAACAAATGATCTGAAAAAGGGGTCTCACGAATGGACAGGGATACACGAAAGTGGAACGTATTATTAAACAGGTCTCGCAGATATAAGCCCTTTTCTCAGCTAAATGTGACTTCTACAATCATTCTCCACTACTGTTTTTTGCTCACTCACCTGAACAAATTCCACCATCGCTTTTTCCTACCATAGACCTGGGTGGTTCTTCTCGATCCAACCAAGAGAACGCATCAGGTTTGCTAACTTGATAACCTGTCCGTGAGAAATCACAGCATCTTAGACACACCAAAATCGACTTTAGGTTTGTGAAGACAAATCTGCCACTTGGAGAGCACCATAGCCCCAAACAAAGAGAGAGCCAAAGACAAGCCAATCACTAGAGAGCGCTCCTCACCGATGGAAACCAGGTGGCGGTAGGTCTCCAACATCACATCCTGATAGAGGGTCTTCTGAGCAGGGTCCAGGAGCTGCCACTCCTCCCAGGTGAACTTTATAGCCACGTCGCTGACTGCCACTGATTTCTGAAATAAAAGGGTTTTATCTAATGAAGTACTTTTCATTTCATGATGTGAAAGAAGTATAGTTTTTCTGCTCAGTTCTTCTATAGAGGCGACATCTAGGCTTGGCTTTGTGTATTTCTTTTCAAATATCTTTTAATAAAAGCAAAACCATAATAAACTATTCTAAATTAGGATATTATACAATCCACCCAATAATGAAACTAGAATGTTCCAGATGTGACAGTGAAACTGGGCCTACTTAGCTACAAAGAGCTCACCGTTATAAACCCACACGTTACACAAGCACATATATGTCTACAAAGCAGACAAAAGTCTACATAACAGACACAAGCACATATATGTCTACATAACGACAAAAGGGTATTACCAGGACCCCCATGCTCAGAGCCTCTGTAATGTCCTTGGTGCTAACTCTCAGGGGCAGTTCAGGGTTTATTTCTATGAGCTGGAGCTCACTCGCATCTCCACGCTGGAACCTATTTTGCCAACTTTAAACTAGTCATTCCTTTGACAGCCCTCTTTGCCTCTCTTCCGGGTATGCTTAATCACTGCCACGGCCCAGGAAAACTCAGAGATCCAAGGGGGTGATTTGGAAACTGAGGACAATTTGAAGTCAGGTACAAAAGGCGATACTCAAGACCAGCATAAGAAAGCATGTGCACAGGGCCGGGGCCGCCGGAGGCTGCAGTGCGAGAGCAAGGCCGAGCGGTGGGAGCAGAGGCCCAGCCCTGGAAGCCCCCTGAGAAACTTTCTGCTCAGAGGATGCTCTGCCCTGGCGCCGCTCTCGGGGATGTGCGGCTCTGTGGACGGTGGCAGGGACCCGGGGCGCGGGAGGACTGACGTGCCAATCTGGCTAGACCAGATGATGTACACTGGTACAGATAGGAATGGGAAACACAGGGAATCCAGGACGGTTGATCCCTTAAAGACTAGTGATGAGAGTGGTGATACCGGAAGGGTGAAGGGAGGGTGGGGTGGAAAGGGAGATTATAGGGATCTGCATATAGCCTCCTCCCTGGGGGACGGATGGCAGGAAAGTGGGTGAGGGGAGACATCGGACAGTGTAAGATATGACAAAGTAATAATAATTTATAAATTATCAAGGTTGGTGAGGGAGCGGGGAGGGAGGGGAAAAAAATGAGGAGCTGATACCAAGGGCTCAAGTAGAAAGCCAATGTTTTGAGAATGATGATGGCAACAAATGTACAAATGTGCTGGACACAATGGATGGATGGATGGATGGATGGATTGTGGTAAGAGCTGTACGAGCCCTCAGTAAAACGATTTAAGGAGAAGACGAAGTCTACGTCTACGAGAGCATGTACAGCACGGGCCTGCTCCATAATCTCCTCTAGGAAAGGAACACAGAGAAGACGGGTGCTAGAGCGAATGTGATGGAGAAATCAGACAGTGCCTGGCTATCACATAAAACAGTGTCTAGGATCTGAAAATCTCTCTGAACAGACAGCCAGCTAAGTGAGCTGCCAACTAAGTCCTCATGGAGGAAGCAGGCTATCGTCAGCTGTGGGAAACTGAGGCACAGGAAGCGTGTGTGCAGGCCAGGATCCTGGGGTGGACGGAGACCTTCACACACGTGAGTTAGAGATGCGTCTCAATCACATTCTCATAATCAATTGTTCCTCACTTTATCCTCCCATCATTGTGCTGCCTTAAAGTGACCTCTTACAAGCACAGGGCTGATTGCTATCCGACCAGCAGCTTTATCTATATGAGCAGACATGTCACTATTGCTCTCTAGGCTCTGAGGACAGTCACTCCCCTTACCTGCCCCCAGCACTGGTGTTAGGTTACTCCTCCAATGAACGCAGGGACCTCTAAGGTTAGGGTACAACCCATTTTGTTACTTCTATGGTTACCTGTAATTAGCGGGGCTTGCCTGTCCCAGAGTATATAAGCTGATGTGGGAAATATAATCTCTCCCTCTGCCTGGTCCTGACCCATGAAGTCATGACTGAGAGGTGAGACCTTGCATGCTTTGTCTTGACTGATGTCTCTTTAACTTACCCCTCAATTATACAACTGCCCCTCTTTGACCCAACGGGTTGTGGAGACCGGCACCACACAATCAGCCACCGAAGGGTTGTGAAGTATATAATTCACAATTGAAGAGAGGGATTAGGATCAGAGCCTCAAGTGTGAGACTGTGGTTTTCAGAAGGCTATGGATGACGGTGGGAGCCCAAGAGTCATTGGTGGAACGATACAGGAAACAAACCTCCGGTCAACCCCTTCTATCCCAAATTGAAAGACAGGAGGAAAGCGGTCAGGAAACGTGTACACTGATAAGTTGAGCATAGAACATCTAAGACAGACGCCTGACTTGAACAGTTAAAACTTGTAAGCAGTTTCCGCCTAAGACGCATGGTGGGCCTCATCTGGTTATAAAAATCTTATGTTTTGGTTGTATTGTTTTGTTTGCTTTTGATTGTGTCTCATTGGGGGGTGTCTCAGGAGTATTATATCATTGGGAGTTACCCTCTTAAAGTTGCGGTATAGGGTTTTTTCATTTGGGTGCATAAGACCAAAACTGATGTGGGTACAGAGTCAGCAAATGGAATAAGGGCTTTGGGGGGAGGAGGACATGGGGGGGGTGGCAGGGTGAAGGGGTGATGATGTCAAGGGGTTCATATAGAAAAAGAATGGTTGGAAACTGACTATGGTAGCAAATGTACAATTCTGCTGGACATGACTGATATATGGAATGATTTGATATATGTATTAAGCCTAATTTATAGTAATACATTTTAAAAGCTTGTAGGCAGGGTCTCCCTTCTTTCGTGTAGAGCAGCTCTCTCATCTCCTATTGGCCACCTTAGGATGGGCTCCTCTGGTCCACAGCCAAGCCATCTTCAAAAGCTTTCCATTACAAGCTGCTACTAGCCCTGCCCTCGGTCACCATCCACTCTGCCACGGAGCCCGTTCTGCTTCTGCAGTCATTGGCTTGGCCGCTGTGAGCATCCTACAGTGGATCAGGCAGGGAAGTGGCTGTGTTGGCCTCAGAAGCCAACACCTTCAAGGAAACAGAGAATTACCTGTCAGTATGGAAGCAGCAGGCAAGAGTCAAAGACGCACTGCAAGACCTCTTTAGAGTATTCAAAGTCAAGGATCTTACTTTAAGGACCAGAGCGCACCGGAACCAAGCCCTGGTATTTTCAAGTGCCTCATAAGCATGTAAGAGATGGACATTAACGAAGGAAGGCCAAAGAACCCTGGATGCGTTTGAACTGTGGTGCTGGCCAAGAATATCAACTGCCACAAAGGACAAACAACCCTGTCTTGGAAGCAGTACATACAGAGTGCCCCTTTGAGGGAAGGAAGGCCAGTCTTTGCCTGACATACTTTGGATATGATTTCAGGAGAGACCAGTGTCTGGAGAAAGATGTCATGCTTTGTAAAGTAAATGGGTAGCAGGAAAGTGGAAGGCCCCCAAGGAGAAAGGCTGTTACAGTGTCTACAACAATGGGCTCAAGCACAGGATTTTTCTGTTGCGTTCAGGGTCAATATGGGTTGGGCGGACTGGGCGGTACCTCACAACAACAGCATTGTGAGCCAGCAGCTTGCTGGTTGCTTGCCCACTTTGGGTTGTTCAGCATTGCAATAGCAATCTGTCATTGATCTTCACTTAGCGACTTCAGGGCCTTATTAGGCAGCAGTATGTCGCCTGACCTGATCATCTGGGTCCATCAGCCTTTGCGAACATAGGAGTGAAGAGAATCCTCCAGATGGATATCTAACCTGTGGATTTGGGACTGCCAGGTTCGATATAGCTGAGAATTATTTACTTGACACTTCTTTAAGTTTGTCCTGATGTTGATGGTGATTCTCTCTCCTACCTCTGTACCTGAAAGATCTTGAATTCACCTACCATTTTTAAACTACTATCAAGAGTAGTTGGGCTTTAGAAACATCTATGAGAATGGTGCTCTTTGGGATTTCACGTAATATAACCTTAACAAAGAAACTTATTCAGACAAAGTGTAGTGTTACTCTCATAATCAGTGTTATTCCTCATCTTATACATAGCTGATAGCTGATTCACAGTTGAAGTCTGAGTCAAAGTTTATTTCTGTCCAGTTTCCACTTTTCCAAATGTGTACTTTTCTGAACTGAGCTGGCATCCTACAGGCTTCTACAAATCCACTAGGGACCCACAAAACACAAAACAAGCCAAAAGTCACCTGAGCGTTGATCATTTTATTTGTTCCTTAGGACACTGCGTGACACAGAGATGCTCTGTCTCTGTTTACTGGATCAGCGCCAATTCTGTTCAGACTCTGTCAAAATAATCCCCAAACCAGGCACCTCTTCTTCCTTCCTCCCAGTGGTTCTCTTGTGGCTGGAGATTCAAAACTGTAGGCTGAAAAAATGAAACAACAAAAAAACCTGTAGGCTGATGGGAGAATACACTGTGTATGACACATCACCTATTGGTCCAGGTGCTCTTACTATTCCTGTCCCTCTTCTTTACACGAACTCCGTAATACTGTTGACTGGTTCTTTATTATATGCCATGGGCATAAAACCTAAGATCAGAATTGTGTAAGTATGGTAAATGATGATCTTTTTTAAAAAAAAGAAAACTGGACACTGAATACACATGTAGGGCAGAAAATAAAGAAAAAAGAGTAAATCCCTACCTCACAACATACAACCTATCCATTCGTGGTAAGTAGTGATTGACAGTGGAAATGACACATCACTGAACCTTAAAGAAGACACGTCACCCACATCTGAAACGCAAACCCAACTCACTGCCATCGAGTGGATTGTGATGCTAGCGACCCTTTGGAAGGGTTTCTTAGACCACAACTCCTAATAAGAGCGGGAAAGTTTGTCTTCTGAGGGGTGGCTTGGAGTTTCCAACTCCTGACTTGTGAGTTAGCACCCTAATTTGTAACTGACAGGTGGGAAGATGAAGGATAAAGGGTGTGGTGCCCACCAAATGACTGCATCAAATGAAAATTAACTGGCCCGCCTTGACACAATCAAGGGGGTTGAAAAAAATCAGGCACACATCAGACGCCTATGGGGACAATGCAAAGCTAAGGTCTAAGACTAAGACTAAGGTCACCTGGATGCAGGTGAAGGTCAACCTGTGCATATACACTAGGCATCAGCAACATTAAGTCACACGTGTGCCTGAACTCAGCCACTAAGAATGGCCAACACCCTCAACCACCCCCCAGATCAACACCCCCAAAGTGGGGACAGGAGGGCATAAACAGCAGAGACTGAGGGCAGGCCTCTGTCTTACAGGTGAGAGGGCAGGGCTCATTCTCAAGGAACTCCTCTTCCTTATTCCGTTCCTGCATTCTTTTGTGTCAGCAGCCTCCTCTTTCTGCCCATTTTCCCACGTGTATTCTCACGCTCCCCTGAAGCAGCACCTTTCAGTCGGAACGCTCCCACGGCCCCCTCCATGCTGCCTGGCACGCTTTCCGGAGATCGCATGGACTCGCTGAGCCCCGAAAACCCCCTTTCTTTCATAAACATGACTTGGATTTATGAAAGTGCGCCTGCCTTTCAGCGCTGAGAAGGAAGACTGGGAAAAACCATTGCCTTTTCCAAACTGGAGCGCTCAGAAAGAGTTCGATGGAAGCTTCCTCGAGGTGGGGACACAGCAAACGGGCACCGACTTGTCACTGTCATCAGCAGCCCAGACCTTAAACCCAACTCACTGCCACCGAGTCGGGTCCGATGATCGCGACCCAAGTTTGGGAGAAGGTGCCACTGCCCCTCGCGGGGTTCCGAGACTGCAGCTCTGGACCAGGGTAGAAACTCGGGCTTTCTCCCCAGGTGCGGCTCGGAGTTTCCAAGTGCGGCGAGTCCTGCGGGTCGCGGCCCAGTCCGGAACCACGAACGCGCCAGCCTTCTGCAAAGTGCAGTGCGCGGAACCCGTGTTCGAACGCAATTACCCACGGCGACTGACCCGGTGAAGGCACTCCTCCAGGGAGAGGCGCACAGACCCGGGCCCGCACCCACGGGTCAGCCGGGGCCGGGGTCCCCGGGCGCTCACCCGGCTCGCACCCCAAGGCGCCGGCCCCTGCTTCCCCTGCAGCCGGCCCGGGTCCTCCCGCCAGCACGTGCACCCCTCGCTCCCCTAAAACCCACGTGGTTTCCTCCTGGCTGGCAGCTCATTCCGGGAACTTACACCTCGGGGGCAATGCCTCCAGCTCCACCAAGAAGCCGAGGCCAAGTCAAACTCCCGCGGCGACGCACATTCTCCTGGAAGCGCTTTGGGAAGTAGGGCGGCCGCCCCGGGCCAAAAAGCTGGGCAAAGCGCGAGCAAGGGGATTCCGGTTGCGCCCTGTCTGCCGGGCGCACTGTCCCTGCAGCGCGATCAAGAATTACTTGATGCACTTGGACCTTTCCGAATGCTCGGTTCAGGCCCTGCAAACACACCTGGAGCAATTTAGCAATCCCAATGTTAATCACACTAGACTACCATTTCAACCAAATCGCAGGCAGAGGGGCCGCACACTACCTTATTCTTTCAGCGTCACGGTCCCCAGGAGGATTGCCTTCATCGGGGTGCCCACCCCGCCGGGGTAGAGGTGGAGAGAGCAGGAGCCCATGGCTCCTTGGCTCCCAGCTCTTCGAAAAGGCGGTGTCCCTACCGGGTTTATGTGGGCAGTTCAGCTGGCTCCTTGATATCCTTCTGGAAACTCCGCGGCATCCAGCCGCGTCTTATCGGGGTCCCCCAGACTTTCTGGGGTGCCTCTTCGGACCATCTGTTGGCTCTTGGCGGTGCCTTATGAAGGAGCACCGTGTCTCCTGTCGCTTCTCTGTCTGGGACCGTTCGCAAACGGCTGTCCTAGCTGGTTCTCATAAACTGCTTCCTTTTCTCCCTGGCAGCTTGCACACAAGCACGGGGTGCTTCAACTGCAGACAGCAAGGAATGTGGGGAGCAGCTGCACACAGTGTTCCCCGGGAGCAGTAAACAAGAGCAGTGTGTGCTGAGATACGGAACTCTGTCAAGGCCATGTGAAAATCGAGCGTGGGAACAGGGAGCCTATCTGGGAACACTGCCAGTATTTAGTATAAAAAATAAAACGCTGTGGTCCTTCGGGGCCCAGTCTTGTACCGTCTCTGTGTGTGTGTCTGTTTTGTGCTGCAGTCTTGTGTTGTCTTTGTGTGTGTGTCTGTTTTGTTCTGTGTTCATTTTCCCTACTCAAGAAACCGCAACAGCTTAACTTTCCAGCTGGGCCTAAATATGATCCTTTCTTTCTTTTCCAAAATGGGGTTTCTCGTGTTTAGATCTTGCAAGGTCGTTCAACGTCTTGCCAAGTCGTTCTATATCACTCTTATCAATGGACGCGTCCACATTTGCATACTTTCCGTACTAAAGGAAGGAGTGTTTGTGTGTACGTGTGTGCGTGCGTTTTCTCCCCTGTCTACTACGGAGGCCGCTCATTTTTAAGTTGAGCTGGATGGTAATGCTGATCAACTTGTTATAATTTCATACTGTTACAGTATATGTTGTTAGACTTAAATTTCTTTTATCCCTATCTAACTCCATTTTCCCCTTACAGCCATTTTAGTTTTCTTTCCACAGAGTTTTGCAGGTCAAAATAACTTGGCAAAATAATTGTGCACATAAGTTGTTAAACTGTTACCAGAGGAACAACGTCGGTGGCCGGAGAAGATTGAAAAAAGTTAAAGATCAGACCGGCTCTAAAAAGAGAATGTTATCTCTAGTAGATGGGGAATGAGTCGTAAAAGTAAGCCACTGTGACTCTGCAAACTGAGCTAGTTAATGTCAGCTAAAAAGTTTTACAAGCCCACCTGGACCAAGATAAGCTGGGCAGGCTAAACTGCCCCCATCCTGTTATCTTGTGCAAACACCCTTCCCCATTCCTTACTCA